GTAAAAGACTTACCTAAGCCAAAAAATGCAAAAGAACTTGAAACCTTTATAGGTAAGGTCAACTATTATAACAATTTCATTCCAATCTTTTCACAAGTAGCAGCTAGTAGAGCTGCTTCGCCTTCGGTACAAAAACAAATCAAGAAAAAGCATATCATATACCGAAAAACTTAATTGTTAAAGCCACAGAACTTGCTCATTATCAAGATCATTTGCCGCTCGTCTTTGCAAGAGAAATATTTAATTAATATAAGTATTGTTTTATTGTATATAGATGATGTAAAAATGATGTGGTGATTGCAAAAGATAAAGACGAAGCGTTCAAAGAATAAAACTAGATGGTTAATAAATCAAATAACTATGCAAAAATTTGATTTTCAAGCCAAATATCATTAGAATCAGCAGATTAAGCAGACACATTGATGCATTAAGTCATTATGCTATAATAACAATCATATCAACAGAAGATAGTTTAGTATTAATGGATCAAATAACGGTGCAAGAATTTGATTTTCAAGCCAAACATCATTAGAATCAGCAGTAATAAACGACAAATGGCAAACAAACACATACCTGCTTGTGTGACCCCTTTGGGGGATGTTGAACGGCGCTTGCTCGTCTTCGACGACTGGCTCCGCGACATAGACCCGAGCATTCTTGGAACCTTGAAACCTTGGTTGGTTTCAAATATATCGCCCCTCCCCACTTCCTTTATCCCCTGAACCATAACCCCACCTATCCACTCCCTTAAACATGTATTCGTCTTGCAATCCTTACATGTTATCTCAAGAACGGCACGTTAGTATAGTCGTAATGCTATACTAACAATCATATCAACAGAAGATAGTTTAGTATTAAAGGTGAAGAAATTCCAAATAAAGTTTAACATACTCTCTGTGTCAATAATAACGCTCTTCACTCTGTGTAGCGAACGTATGTATATATATTGGACTATATAGATTGAAAATAAAACATTTTGTTTTCATTTAAGGTAGTTACGAGGAGGGAGTAAATGCTCATTGCAGTCTGGTCAGATGCGAAATTTGAATCGCATTTTAGACCCCTTTTGTCTCTGCTTACAGCTGATGTGAGCATCTAAACAAATTGTTGGATGATTTCTCTTGATAGTTAGATCTTGCAAATTTGAAAAGAAGATTATTATCAATTAATAAAAGTAAATCAATTTTTTTTTTTTCCTTGACGAAGCTATTAATACAGATATTAATAACAAAGTTGATGTTAAGAAGATAATAGATGGACGGCATGATTTGAAAAATAAGGAATCTTTAGATTGTGACCAAAGTATGAAAGTAAACGTAATAAGATACAGATCTTATTACTAGGGACACTTTATATCAAAATTGCATTAACAAATAGTGGAATATTCCTTTAATGAAAAGTCACAACCAATACTTTAATAAACACCTTAAGTAAACAATGTGAATGCTAAATAATGACAGTTTTCAGTCCATACTAAAGGGCTAACTCGGACAGATTTCACAATCGTAACTTAATTATGACTTTGATTTCTTTTCATAGTAAAGTTAGCATATGTCACATTAAGTATGTGATTGATGGTAATATTGTTTGAAAGCATATAGTTTCTTTCATTTTTATTTCAAATTTAACGTTTTAATGTAAAAAAAGGAAATATAATTTATCATGCAAGTACAAAAATACTAAATATAACAAAACAAGAAATAGTTATTTTCACAGCAATAAATTTTAGCGACTTTTAGATTTATCTTACTGAAGTCAGTATCATGGCTTAAGTTATGACTGTGACATAAAGCCTTATTGTGGTTTACTACAATATATAAAGTATAAAGTTTTTATAAATTTAGTTTATAAATTTAGGTTTTGTATTTATTTAATTGACCCTTCTATGATTCTTTTATTACAGAAGTACTAAATGGAGAAATATAGTTAAATAGATATTATATATTGCTCATTTTGTATCATTATGATTTATGTTTAAATATGTAATCATAAATAAACAAAATAATTATGTAAAAAGTAATCTACAACCCACACGACTTAAAATATTTCAATTTTGTTCACTATTTAAGTTTATAAAAATATTAAGAAAGTAAGAATTATTAGAGAATGATGCCGAAATTAATTGTTTAATGTGTCCAGATGCACTAACTCGGAAAAGGATCGACACGAACAATTATGAATATTTGTGGAATTTTAAAAAACTTTTATATATAAAATTTATTTTGACTTTGAATTATTAATTTAAAAATTTGATATCTGAAAATTATCCTGGCAGACATTTAAAATTAATTAATTTTGCACTCTCAATTGTTACCAATTATTTGTCTCAAAATGTAGATCAAAATCATGACAATTCAATCTGGGTTTTTAATAAACTTATTGTCAAAAAATTTATACATATATTTCACTTCTACACATTTCTTTAAAATTTATGAATTGATAAAGATACATTTATAAATAATTTACCTCGTCAAATTGTTGTGAAAAAGAGTAAAACGATAACATGATGTTGTAAAATGTGTGAAATATGTGTTGAATACAATTATATATTCATATATGTGTTTTATAATTGAAGCTGTTATATCCCAAATTCGTTGCCTTATATATGCGAATGAGTCCCGTGCGTATAACATAATCTATGAGTTGAAATATTCCTCATCAAAGCTGATTTATTACTGTTTAAGTTGATTTGCTGTCTTCAGTTAACCATTGCATTGCATCGGAGGCAACATCTCTTTCCTCGTAACATTCCTTCAAGTCTTAGAATATGTATTAATTTTCATTAGAAGATTTATTTTCAGTGGACACTTCATTTTCGGTAGATTCATTTTCAGTAGAGGATTCATTTTCAGTGGACGATTCATTTTCAGTGGACGATTCATTTTCAGTGGAAGATTCAGTTTTATCTTCTTTAAATGAATCATAAAACTGCTTGTTCCATTTGAATGTGTAGTACTTTAGTTCAGTAGTTTGGTTTTCATCTTTTTGTATTAGATACGCAACGACACTATTTTTTCTTACAGCCGTCGCCATTCGTGACATAGTCATCATTTCATAATAATGCAATTTACCATCTGGTAACAAATTAATAATATGAGAAGAATGATATCGCTCAGGATCTCCATTATAAATAATAAAATCCCCTCCATACACATCGCCACAAGTTATATAATAACCACGCATCCATAAATCCCTAAATACTCGGTATTGAAAAGAGTTGTTGTCTTTAACACTCACAATTTTAGCTTCTAAAAAAAAACGTAGTTAAAAATAATTTATTTGTAGAAAGTGAATCTTACTATGTGGTAGGGGGAATCCATTAAAAGAAACGTATAAACTTTTTTCATTCAGTGCAAAACTACTTTCCGTATTATTCACATTTTCCGTTATCATTTTATTTATTTCTACACATATAGAAAATTGTTAATAACTTTTTATGTATGATATTTTTGTTAAGAATTTTACCTTCAATATTAGGTAATGGTGTTATAACGGTCGCAGATGCATGTTTTCTTTTGCCCAAATGTTTTCTTGGAACTGATAATTCTCTATCCACTATTTTTTCTGCGACATTCATTTCATTGCATGCTTTTAATTGCTGCGTGGAACGGTCTTTAAAGGCCTCTTGCTCAGCAACTGAGGGTTCTCCCAAAAGTCTTTCTTTTTTAGATACCAGTACAGCAATGTCCCGCTCCAACAACAAACGTGTTTCTAGCGGCGTCAATCGCACAGGAATACCTAGATTTTGAAAGAAAATGTGTTAAAATTTTTTAAATAAAATTTGAGTTTTTCTTACTAAAACGTGACGCCAACACTTTTCGAGCAAAGCAAGCTTCTCTTCTTGCTCCAATTATACGATATTTCTTTCGAAGTGTAACATAATCTGTAGAAAAATAATGAACGATTTAAAATATTAAAGTGTTAAACTATAGCAGTCATAAAACTATATCTTACAAAATTGAGTAAAGTAATTTTTTTGTTCATGTATAATATTTAACGGAACAGTTACCCGATCTCAAAACAAAATTATATATAAAAAATTTTATAATGAACACATACATATTTCACTTACTTAGCTACTCTCTTTTTAAAAAAACTAAAATTACAGTTTTAATTTGACATTTTTTTACTGTGGAGCTGCGCACAAACTGCCAAAATCAGCAACGTCCATAACTTAAAATGGTTGTAACAGGCCAGCCGGCGTGCTTTTTCGATTAACGGAATAAGGCATGCAGTTTAAGAAAAGGGACGCCAGTTGGCCTTATTCAATACAACTATGTATGTATAACGTTACAAAATACATCTGACAGTATATACTATAAAAAATATTAATATAATGCCCAAATTACATACAATAATTCCTACAAGAAACGTTTATGTTCTTACCATTATGATTGAAAACAAAGCCGGTACCACTTATAAGTGTTAAAACTATTTTCTTTTGCGTAGTTTCTGAATTTTTAGAATTCTCCTCCATTGCGTATTACACACAACACAGAAATATTCAATTAATAAAAATATAAAATCCAAAGCATTTATTAATAAATTATATTTGCTAAAAACAACAAATTTTACCAACTGTTCTTTTGCGGCGGTAACTTCCTTATACCATTTTTGTATTTCTTATGTTTACATTTTTTGACAGTTCATGTAGCCATTCACAATAAATAAAATCATATGTATGGTTAATTGATAACCGAATATGTTTTGTGTAGTGCACGTAAGACTGTTCAATCCTATTTCGTTTTGTATATATTTATACAATTATAATAATAAACAATTATAATAATAAATAAAGAAAACAGAACTAAATATATTTAAAATAAAATTATCGCACTTTGCCGAATTGATTCAAAATTTCTACTGAAAAAAGCATATGACTACGTTATTCTAGTACAGAAAGGAAGCCATGATTTGTTTTATCAAATAGAAAATTTCTGTTATATGTCTAGATATTTTTAAACTTCAGATATATTTTTTTGTTCGTAGTTTTAACAAATTCGTATTAATGGTTTGCTCACACTTTTTGGTATTTTAAAATTATTTCATAAAGTTTAGAGGTTTTTGGATATGAAAAATGGCATTATCAACATCCAAAATTAAGTACAAGAATCCTATTTCAAAAATACGAACTTTGGTACAAAATTTAGATGCTGAAATAATAGAACTCTCCACAAGCTTCTCGATATCTAAAAAAGAAACTGTTAAGGATAAGCTGAGTGTAGCTAATATTTATAATGTTAAAAGAAATGTGACCAAGCTAGGTGTGCAGACTCGACTACCAACCACTAAAATTGAGGTCCGTATGCTATCAAGCGTATACCAATCGAAAGTTCAAGATGCATATAGGAATAAAAGGATCTTTATAGTCTACGGTTCCTATAACATAATAAGACAAGAATTATATGACCGTGGTTGGTTAGAGAAACTGCCACCGAATCGGTACTCATATCTACAAACATTACCTGAGGACTCCTTAATGCGTCACGCACGACCTGGAAATGATTATGAAATAGTCATGATATCAAAACTTTTAGCGCGTTACCCTGCATTCTTTATATGGCAACCTAAAGGTATGCAAGATATGTGCGGAGATATATTTCCACTTAGAAATCGTATACGTCGTGGTTTGAAAGTCGATTTTTCAACAAAAATCGGACTTATTGGATGTTCTGAACTTGAGGTGTGGTACAGACGAGATTCGATGTGTACAATGAAATATCCGCGCTTCTACAGACTTGGTGGTAGAGTTGAAGAACGTTTATCGTTTGTAGAAGACTACAACAACACACAATGTCGCAGCCTGATCCGATATTTATGGGAAAATATTGAAGATCCTAATTTGAATATCGATCAAAAAAACGGCACCGTATCAATGGATTTGATTGCGTTTGCACTCAAAAACATTCAAAACCAACTTGATGAATTGGAGAATAAAAACTTGGACATCATACCTACAAAAAATGACGAGGAGAAAATAGCCATGAGAAACTTCATAATAAAATCTAATAGCATTATATACAGAAAGGCATGGCTAACCACAAACCACGACAACCTTGTTGGTGAAGTTGAATGCGGAATGCATATGATCAAGAAACTTGAAAAGAAGCAACTAGGCCTTAATTGGGAAGGTTTTCGAAACCTTTGGATTTTAAAGCCAGGTTATCAGTGCCGTGGTATAGGCATTGTTGTAAAAAAATTTCTAAACGAAATACTAGACCATGCAAGTAAAAATATGAATGGGAGTTACATTGTACAAAAATATATTGGTGAGTAACCTCTCGTAGTAATTTAATCCTACTAAGATTTTTATTTTTTTTCATCATATTTTCTAGAGCGACCTTTACTAATATATAAAACTAAGTTCGATATACGCGCTTACATGCTCCTAACTGTTGCAAGTGAGCACGTAAGCATTTGGCTATACAACGACTGCTATCTGAGATTTAGCTCACAGGAATTCAACATGACGGACTTACGAGAAGCCATACATTTGACCAACAACTGTGTGCAGAAGAAGTATAAAAACGATGCATATCGAAGTAAAAACCTACCAATTCATAACATGTGGCACTCTGCACAATTTAAAGAGTATCTTCGACGGTTGCCCGGTGGACAAAATGTATGGAACAAGATAATATACCCCGGCTTTATACAGAACTTAATTGCGGTTGTATTGGCGAGTTTCGAAGATACAAAGTTCGTTAAAAATAGTTTTGAAATGTATGGTTGTGATTTTATGTTGGATGAAGGATTCAACCCAATTTTAATAGAAATTAATTCCACCCCAGATTTGTGTCATTCTACTTCAGTAACAGCAAAGCTGTGCCCACGTGTTCAGAAGGATCTAATTAAAATTGTTGTCGACTCAAAAGACAATCCCAATACATCTACTGGACAGTTTAACCTAATATTCAAAGTTGTACATAAAATTTTAAGGGAAGTCGAGCCAAATTGCAAAGTAGCTTTATCCGGCGAAAAACTTCCCCTACCAGAGCGTTTCCAGGATAAAATTCTGAAAACAGCTATGAAGCTAAATAAGAAGAAAGAAAACGCTACTTATTTCAAAAATACAGAAGCACATCGAAAGGCAACTGGCGCAGGTAATTAAAATAAAAAGCGCAAAGTCGAATGCACACTTCTTTGAAATCACGCGGGAGTATAGTATATTTTTACATTAGGTCTGTTCCACGAGCTTCTCGTAGTAATACTCAAGTAAAACACAAGTTCAAACTGAGAGCGTAACACAAATAAGTGCCAAATTACGCTTTTTACACATTTTTTCATGGAACAGCTTTGTGTAAAATTAGTGAGAACAACCACTGCCGCACAATTAAACAATACATAAATTTAAATTCAAACCAAAACAGCTGATTCACAAGTCTGTGGCGCTTTTTTAATTTTCGATAAGAATGATACGCTCTCTCAGATGCTTTCATTTACTCGAAAATTTCCTATTGGAACGCAGTTGAGTATAAACAGTGCTACGAGTACTAAAGTTACTACGAGTAGCTCGTGGAACAGACCTATTATTTGGTAGAAGACAAAATAAATTTGCGTTCTTTTGTTTTCTACCGACAAATGTAAGCCAGTATGATGCTATCTCTCTCTTTTTCTCAAATTTTATTTTTTAATTACAAATTATATTAAACAAAATTAAAAGTAGCCTAATTTTTAATATTTAGGTACACGAAGGAAGGCGAAAGCTAAAAAATCAAATATTTCAGTGAAGGCACTTTCAAAACATGACACAACACTAGTGAAGGATACTTAGACGCCTCACAAAATCATGCCAAAATGAAAACAAAATCCAAGAATACAAAAAAATTGCATGATCAACCTTTTGCTCGAAAATATTATTGATCAATACATGGTTATATATAATAATAAATTTACAAACTTACGTTTTGCTAATTTCTGGAGCGTCCGATGGCGGTAATCTTTAAAACAAGTACATTATTAACAACTTGAAAAGCGCGAATAGTTGACAGAATACGATTATTTGATAATTTCTTCTTCTTATGTTCTATTACAAAACATTCATGAACATTCACAATAAACTAAATAAAATTATGAACTACTTAAAGACTTTATTGTTAACAAATTTGTCATATAAGAAAATATTAATAGGCCTTTTCTTTGTAATTATTGGTAAGAATTTTTTTTTTTTTATATTAATTTTCATTCCCTTTAATAGTAAAATAATAAATAGAAAAAGTAACGTATGTGTTACGAACAATGACGACACAAAATACGAAGAATTAACGAAATCATTCGTTAACAGTTAACTGGAAATTTCGTATGTACTTCTAAGAATAGTTCACAATATAGGAATTTTTAGTTTTGGCAACCATGCGATTTGATATTTATACAAAATTCAAT